GGCAGAATAACCACATAGCCACAACCTTCCCGGGATAAGTTACGAAGTATTTAGTGTTCTCCTTATACCGCTATCGACCGGGGCCAGTGATCCCATGAGTCCGCTCCTGGAGTTCCGACATCGCTGGCCTTGGTCGACAGTTTGACAGTTGAAGCACGAAAAACGCGGCTCTTGGATGTTTCTCGTCACTATTCGTTGATCATTTCCATTTCTTTCTAAAACGCTTGTACTTGTAGTAAATTATGACAGAAGGGCAGTACTTGTACTATTACTAATATACGCTGGAGATGCAATGAATGGTTCTGGTATTTGGTAACCTGAATTTGATCCTAAGGGAAAACAAGAAGAGAACCCTTAGGATCAAACTCAGGTTACCAAATACCAGAACCATACATGCAAACAAAAAAGCAGTAAAATGACACGGGAAAAAGAAATGAATGAAAACATCAAAACTCTTGACCAGCTTCCTTGAAAGAAATAGACAGGAGTTATCGTCGCAAGTACGACTAGGAGCACAAGGAGGCACACTGATTTACTGCTCGAGAAGTGAAAATAACCGAGTTAGCTACTGAAATACGAGAGTCTTGACTACATTCCTCTTCTTTCAGTATGATCTCCTCCCTTAATATTATCCGTAGTTACTTGCTTGCCTCAGTTTATCGAATATTAGATGACAGTCCACCACGACAGAGACAGATGATGAGCTTCGTAGATGGGCGCAGATGTGACGACGCAGAACGAAGATCATGAGGAGGCAGAAAGCCACGCTCCTTTGCGCGGCTGCGCTGGTGCTGCTGAATGAGAGAACCACTGCGAGGCAGATTGATCATCGGACCATTGTTGATCTGAAACAACGAGAGTTGTCCACCTCCTTCTTTCCTAAGAGTGAACAAAACAGTCACCCTCGCACGGACCATGATCGTAGGAACAAGATACAAACTAGGAGCACAACATCAACTACAGCAACTCTACTTCAGGGTAGCTCTGCTTCTTTTCAGTTTGATCAACATCATGAAGATAGTACTTATGTTGCAGCTCATGTCCATGATGGACAAGTACAAGACAAAGCACTACAAGATGCACACCGGAGTAAAAAAGGAGTTGATCTTTCTCTTCTATTACAAGTAGGTAAAAGTCAACAACACGTAGGAGCAGCTGGTGCGAGCAGCCGAGATGAAGATCCACCACCGGTTCATGCTGGTATGGCCGTACGACCCGGTGCGCCTGCCGTAACCTATAGCGTGACAGCAGATTTGGAGGAAGATGGTTGGATCTTCAAGGACATAACAGATGCAAAGTCTTTCGAGAAGTCATTTATGGCACATTATTGTTACTAGTGACCCTGGAGACTTTGGAGGTCTGAGTGGTCCGAATGTTATTGAGTGCATCGCCACAAATTCAAATTCAATGTGAAGTAGAAACGAAGAAAAGCGAATGAGATCCCCATCAACTACTCCACTAGATCGATCTGCATAGTACACCCTGAAAGAGTCTGCTCTCGAATCTTTCTCTGTCCATCGATCGGGCTCGGACCTGAATACCTTGAAGACCCTGAATCCTGAGTCCACACCCTGTAGTTGAATCTACGTTCATCCTTCCCGGTCCATCAGACAGCAATTATTTCGAGTACTTTGAGTGTCAGGACGCCAAAGGATGGGGCGGGAGAGGAGGCGCTGGTGCGTCTGGCGCTATCTACCGTGAAATTCCTCTGGAGGAGGCGGGAAGCGGCGTGCCACTTTTTATGATAGGAAGTTGTGCGTTTCCGTTTACTTTCACTTTCTCTTATATCCAAACAGCTTCAATTTCAAAAGCAAAATATCTTCACCTTCTTGTGTCATAGCATTTCTACTTGACGAGTTTCATGTTCATCTAAGGTTGACAACGAGATGACTTCCACTTCCCTACTATCATTTGCGGAAAAGATGCATACAGTTATACAGATAGATATTGGCAGCTTCTTCCTCAACTACGAACATGTCTTAGTCTAAGTACTTGCACTCTACTTCTGCCCTCACTCTCTAACCTTCCCTACGTCGACGTGACATTTGGTGTCTGTCGATACGACTCGGATCCTACGAAGGGAGTGGCTCTTTACGTTGGACCTAACGTGGATGCACCCGACAACGACCCTCGATGGCTTAGCATCCTCAAAGTGCCAAATCCGGTGAATAAACATACCAAAGTGGTGACCCAGAGGATTTCTGTTTATGTTCTCAACTTCTATAGTCAGCCACAGCCTCATGATACTAAATCAGTTTTTCGACATTCCTGATCCTGTCTGATTTACTTGAACTACTAAGGTGGTGCAGTTTATTTTTTGTATTCATCTACTTCGTGTTGATCAGGACTCTGCGCTTCTGCAAGCGGACTCAGGAGTTGCTCTACCTTCTACGTCTAAGTTTCTCAATTTTTTTGTGATATGTCGTCTTACGAGTACGATCAGACTAGAACAGCTTACATAATTTCACTTTTCCTACCTTCATACTTACGACCGCTTTCGGAACCGGCCATGGTTGAGGATACAGGAAACTGGCAGCAATGTTCTTCTTCTCCGGTCTCTTGCTATAGTCTTCGATGGAGGTACTACTATTTTACTTTTTATTATTGGTCATCTGAGCCACCTGATGCTGACCTCTCCGGGCTTGTGTGTCCGAAAAGTCCCAGGCCCACCTAGTTCGGAGTCAAAGCAACCCAGCACAAACCACAAAAAAGCACGCACCTGCTCAAAAAGTTTATTAAGCCCCAAGCGCTTCGCCTCCATTGCGCTACGGCGGGCCCTGAGTGGTGAGCAGGCGGAACACTGCGCAACGGAGCAGCCGGGGGAATTAGAGACGGCCCGAGCTGGAGGTACAGGACAGCCCAGACCCCTCCGCACCCCTTCATCGTCTCCTCCAGTGATGCCTGCTCGGTAGCGCCGACTGGCAACAAGTTTATGACCGGCTCGCCTTCGGCCACTCCTCCTCGGCATGGAGATGCCGCAGGCAAGACGTTGCGGGGCCAGCCGTCGAACCTGCTTAGCTCGGTCGCGAAGCGACCCGCGGGGAGAAAATTTGAGGCAAAAGGGGCGCGGAAGGCGGGGCGCATTGTGCCCCAGCTCCTTGGCACGCGCCGCAGGGCGCTCGGTAATTAGGTGCAGCTTGCGTAGGCAAAACACTGGGGCACGCGCTGCGCCGGAAACTCGTGGACAATTAGGCGCAGGCTGCTGCAGAGTCTTCGTCTGCAAAAGTGAGAGCAGCACGCAGTGCAAACGCATCGCAAGGAGGCGCGGCACCTTGACAGGAGGGGGAGGGAGCTCTGGGGGCGTCGGGCTTTTGCTGTCGTGTTGCTTGAACCTAGTAGAGGCGACGCAAAGTATTGCCATAGATAATACCGCGAGGCACGCCTGTGCGGCCGATCTGGTTTTGCAAGCACGCAGTGCCTCAGTATGCACCAGCTGCGCCTTTGCAAGCGTCGGGTGAGTAGCGTGGGAGATGGCGGCTGCTTGGGAGTTGGAAACGCAGGGCGACGGGCTTCCGCTGTTTTCCAGGGAACGAGGATGGGGCCGCATGCACCCCGGCGGCCCCTCTGGTGACTGGGGGGTGCGGGTGGTTTGTGCATATTATGTTCGCCCCCCTTTTCTTATTCTGTGGGATTTCCCCTATTTGTCGATCTTGGGCACTCAAGTCCTCGGGCTTGCCGCTACTTCGTCGGACTGATTGCAGGCTCGCGCCGACGGTTTGCCCTCCGTGAGTCTTGGCCTCTGGCTTTCGGTTTTTCACTTGCATACTTTGTCGCCCCCGTTGCTTTCGCGTGTGTGCTTAGGTTGGTTCAACGCTCCCTCAGCTTAACTTCTGAGCGCTCCTTCAGGCAAGCACGCTGCTGTGTCTTGCCGATGATTCGTCGAGAAGATGTAACTATTTGAGACGCATCCGCACCCACGAACGTTGAAGTTGAGAGATGACAACAACTAAAATGACTCAATTTTCTTTCCTCACCTACATCTATCTTCAGCACACGAATTGCAAGAAGCACCTAGCCAGGAGGTTCTATGTCCCGAGGGCTTTGATCTCGAGTGGCATAATGGGGAGCCCACTGTCGCTGACGTCTGTAGAAAAGCGGAAATACTCCGTACTGATGAAGATCTTCGATGTTTTTATTCTTTTTCAGCCACCACGTATTTTTCTCTCCCAAGAAATGTAATTATCTACTTGAGTGCTACTGTAGTATCAAGTTCGAAATAAGTTATCACTTGCTAAAACTACCGCGAACAATAACAATAATATCTTGTCTTCTACTACAATTCAAAGCAAAAAGTAGAAGAGCTGCTCAACATCGTAATTGTAATTGGACCAAAATAAAGTAAATCTTCTAAATCTAAATCTACTTCTTCATCCTTCCACCACAACCACATCAGCCACCGTTGCGAGTAGGGAATGCGGTATGTCAGGGAAGAAGGCGAGCGGGACACAATTGATCAGTGTCAATTCTGCCGTAGACGCTTGCGATTGTCAGACAGAGTGCCTGTTGAATCCTGGATGTGAATCTTGGCATTTTTATATGGAGCAAGTCGGCACCAATATCGAACCGAAGAAAGCGCCCAGATGCCAATTGAAAAGTATGGCTAGACTAATGCTAATCGTACTAGTACTCGGAAGCACAAGCTGCTGTCTTCGATGATTATAAGGAGTACTACTACTACACAAGACAAAAAAATAGATAAAGAGACCTTTACCTGTAGAACTAATGAGACTCTAATTAGACTAAACTCTGTAAGTGTTAGTGTAATGAGACTCTAATTAGACTACACTCTATTAGCCTCTAATGAGTATGAGACCTTCTGCAGAAAAAAAGCTCTAACATAAGTGACGACGCGATTGCGGATCTACTTTATTCATCAGTCATAGATTGATGCTCTCCATCTCTCTAGCATATCGTGTCGTCACCTCCTAGGTTAGAGAATGGTTGGATGAGATAAGTGACGACACAGACACTCCACTGTCCTCTAACATAAGTGACGACGCGATTGCGGACGGTGGTGACCACGACGACGAGTTTGCTGGAAAAAGGGGAGTTGGTGCTCCTGCGTCGGCAGTGGAAGCACCTAGAGGCTGCTCCGCGATTGGGACAGAAATGGACGCACATACAGGCGGCGCAGTCATGAGAGATGATCGTAGCAAGATATGCAGAGCAGAGAAAGGAATTTATGAGATGAAACTACTGAGAGGGATTCATAGTATGAGTAAGAGTTTATGAGATGAAACTGAAAGGGATTAATGTTGATATTATGTTGAGTAAGAGTAACAGCTGTGTCTTCATGAACACATCATGCTTTTGTCGTTCTTGTGTTACCTCTGATTTCTCTGTAGAAGTAAGAGTAAAAGTATCTTCATGACCACATCGACGTCATGCTTTTGCCGGTCCTGTTTTACCTGTTACTTCATCTTTCTAGCGTAAAAGGATCTCCATTGAAATTATGAGTTACTGTAAAAAGACGGTGTAATTACTAACTTGTTAACCTTTTCGCTGCAGCTTCTCTTGGTAATAAATTCAGAATTACTTCTAGTAACTAAGTAGGAAAAGCCACGACGACTGCCATCACGACCCTTCTTTTTCATTCCTCGGTTCCTTTCGGCGCATGTTGGAGTGGATATCAGTTACTTGCGAACACTGCGAAGCCTGATAGAGGAGATCTGTGCCGCAAATATGCGCCTTTTCAAGAGGAAGATGCCAGCTTTGGACATTTGCATGCGCCGTTCGGGTGTAAAAAGATTGATTTGCCACCATACTTCGTAATGCTCAACGAAGAAACGCAGCCCTGCAGAGTTGCACAAGTTGTTATGAAGGATAATCTTGATAGTGACACTACCACGACTACATAGTTATTTCAGTTTCTTTTTAACAGCTAGAAGTAGTACAACTACAAGTACAAACATATACCTACAGTTACTAGACTGTTGCCCTTACAGTGGGTAGCACATGTTGTCAAGGATTCATGGGATGAGCAGGGCTCGTGGTTGGGTTTAGAAGTACTACAAGTAGATGGACCATAACATGGATCAGGGAGTGTGCATAATTTCTCCCGGCCATCAGCTTCACTTTCGACACCTTCATACTCATACATCTTCATCTAATAGGCCAGGTTTGTTGCCAGGCGATGGCTCTTGCACCATGCGCGGATACGCTTTGCGGCGAGGAAAGTCCGGGACAGAAGGCGATCTCTGTTACAAAGTTGTCCTAGCAGCAGGTGGAGGACCTTCAGGTGCGGGAGGTGGAGGAGGAACAGGAGGTGGAGGAAGTAATCTGTTGTTCACGGAAAAGCAGAATCTTGGAGGTACTGAAAAGCAGGGTCTTCAAGGAGGAAGAGGATCAGCGAGTACTATAAGTCGAAAAGCTGCACAGCAGGGTCCTCTGTCAAAGGATCTGACCAGCCTCATGCATGAAATGGATCAGGAACAGGATAAAGGCAGTAGCACTAAAGGAGAAGACTCGAGCAGTACTAGAGGAGAAGACCCTGATTCTCTTCATACATCAGGAGAACAAGGGAAAAATGGGCAAAGGCTGCATCAAGATGAAGATGATTATACAAAAGGTGTAGGAGGTGACGGTGAGGCGGGAGAGCTGCCTAGTAGAAATCGTGAGCAAGAATTGGACAAGGACAAGAACAACAAGGGTAAACTACTTGAAGTTGTCATCAATAAACATGATAACGCTCCTGCAGCAGATGGATCTTCTTCAAAACGCTCTTTTTCGCTGCAAGATGCAGAACATGCAAGTTCACAACCAAAACAAGAACTCATAGACGTGTCACAAAAAGAACAAGAACAACAAGGTCATCAAGAAAGTGAACAGCTTCATGCGTCTGAAAAGAAGCAAGCCACGTCTGCATCTGCGAAGACGAGAAGAAAGAGAAGAAAACAACACAAGCAAGATCCTTTACCTCCTGGGCCACTAGTGCCTCCTTTTGGCTGTGCCCTATCACCAGCAACAAACACAGACGAATCGCCTTTAGCCGGGACTATGGTGATGTTAAGAATCTAGGTTGATATAATCATGATATCATTAAAAATTATTTGTTAATCTTCTGAGGTTAGCAAGGCGTGATGTGTTCTACTTTCGCTGTGCGTATCAGGGTTTGATAGCTAATCGTCTTCATCATAGAAGAGAAGAAATACCTTGCTCCATGAGAATCTCAATCTTTTTAGTCGATTAGCGGGGTTCTTGTAAGTAGATATGGATATTGAATCATCTAGGATCATCGATCATTTCCTCATTTCCATTTTCAACCTCATTTCCATTTTCAACCTGATTTCCATTCTGTTGCTAGCCCTTGTTTCTAACCTCCCTCTCCGACCCAAACCAACCTTGTCGAGTCGACAACGTTCCAGCGTCCGGACCATTGGATTTTTCTGGCACGTGGGTTGTTTCCACCGCAAAAGCTGGACCTGCTTCCCCATTTCATGTTTCTGTGGTTAAGGCTTTTCTACTTGGAATACGAGTATTACTCGGAATACTCGGCTACTTAAGTTGTCTTACTTAGATAGTGGTCTAAGCGTAAACTTGGAATACTCGTCTAAGTTGTCTTACTTAGTTAGTGGTCTAAGCGTAAGCGTGCGGTATCTAAATCTAAAAATGATCCTTCCACTCGTCTCGCTTTCTCATTTACCATCAACGGATTGTCAATAGTGAAGATGAACATCACAAGATCGTAGCTCATCTAGAAGCAAGCATCCTTCCCAGTAGCTGCCTTGTGCCCCCACATCTTCTAAGATCTTCCCAGTAGCCGCCTTGTACCAGAATGAGCTTGCGTTTGAAGCAGGAACCTCTTGGAAGTGGACATTTAGGGATAATGCTGTCCGCAATGAATACAGCGAAAAGAGCTGTTTCTTCATGCGGCAAGAGATCATTGCGAACTCCAACAGCGCTGGGGCATTAGCTTCGACGGAAACGTTGATGACGGTGAATATTTTATGGCAAAAAGTAGCCAGAGGGTTTAGGATTTGTTATAATTGTGATGATGAAGATGAAGAAGAAGATGTTGTGGAAACAAGGAATTAGGAGTACTTATTTTCGAGAACGAAGAGTCGTGAACTTCTTTATCATCGTGTTTTTGTGTTCGACCTAGAACTTCATCACATTCACATCAACGAAAAAACATTCATTGAAACTACTCTTCCATTATTCTCATTTTCTCATTCACCATCTTGTTCCTTGTTGATGAAGATCCTGTTGTAGTACTTCCTCCTTCATACGCCACCGGACCCGCAACAGTTTACCTAGACCATTTCGCAGGTTTCGCGAAAAATATCTCAACGCAAGTTTCTGGGGATCCTGTACAGGGAGAGGAGCAGCTGAGTGCCGGTCTTTTTAGTTGGGCCAATTGGCAGAGATGGTCCAGGTCTTCCGGCAAGACGAGTCTTAGATTGTCAAAGACAACAGCTCCAGGAGCTGTGCAGTTGGAACTGGGAGGTGAATTATGGCTGGACCATGGTTGTTGGGAGAGAGAAGTTGTAAACAGAAGAGGCATGAGCATGATGTTGTGAGATCCCCTGATACTCAATATATAAACCTTTTTCTCATGATGGCAGTCGTGTCTTCAGCGCCTTCTTCATGATCAGGTCGTGTACTGTTGTTTTTTTGTACTATCTGTTAACGTTATTAACGTAGATTTTTTGCTACATCCAATCCTTCCATTAATAGAAGACTTTATCTTTATGTGTTGATTTCACAAGCACCCTTTGAGATTGATATAGTCCTGCTCGCTCCACTTCTAATCCCCTCCAAAGGCGTAGTCTACGAAAGCACTTTTCATGGTCCTGGCCAAATAGAACTCAAAGGCACGAATTCGCAGCTGGGTCCGCCTCTAGTCTTCGTTTGCCCTGCAGCAGCGAGAAGTGGAGGCGCAACACTGACACCAGCGGATCCTGCTTCTATAGTATCCAGAAGCTACAGCTTTTGGGAAGAGCTGTCCAGAGATGGATGGCGGAAATTGTTATGGAGAAGTCCAAGTCCAAGAAGTCGAAGTCCAAGTAAATAGTCCAACTCCAACATTGATTCTTCTAAAGTCGTTAATACTGCGTCCGAGCGTGTAGTTGTAGTACGTAGTACATAATGTGGCTCGATTCCTACTCTTGCTAGTAAAAAGCTTGTCTTCATGCTGGTAGTGGTCGCAGATTTTTCAGTCACACACAATAAATCGTCTCATCATCTGCTCTATTAATAATTTTTACAATCTGGCGCTCTAGCTCTTCTAATCTCCACAAATTTCGAAGCCAAATCTCGAGGAAGCATGACGCTAACCGAGAGCACAACCGATCGATTCCATTACCCTATTGCCTCTACCAGTGCCAGTGCAGATGCAAGTGCCAAGACAGAGAGCAGCTGCGGTTTTGTAGGATGGGGCGGCGTCAGCTTTGGAGGAGAAGGCGGGGTGATGATAGAAAGAAAGATCCCAACTATCGTTAAGGCTTTGGACGATGGTGACTGAGATGAGTTGCTTGATTACTCATGGTCATGTTGTAGGTCTCGATCTAGTACTTATCTAATTTAGACCCAACGACTGGAGCCTCGTTGGCGCAAGTCGAAATTAGTTTCGGCTATTGCACGACGTCGCAAGCAGTCGTAGCTACCGGTGGAGCTTTTATCGACGTAGGTGGGGAGAAAAGGACGACTGCGGAAAGTGCAACCATGTTGAGCTTAGTGGAAGGAAAAGGTGGTTATAGCAGCGCCAGCGGTAGATTTGTATCTGCTTCTGAAATGAGTAGAGGTGGGAGTAGCAGAGCTTCATATTCAACGGAAGTAGGAGAAGTTGCAGTACATCGAGTGAGAATAAAGCAAGATGAAATTCTTCTTGATACAAGTACAACAACACGACGAGAGCGAGAACATCTTCAAGACGAAGACAGGCAAGAAATAGAAGCGCACTCGTCTTCCTCGTCGAGCGCACTAGAAGATGACGGAAGCAGCATGAGTCACGACATCAGTCTATTGCACCAAGCCACCGAGTCTGAAACCGAGAGCGCGATGGGCATGGCAAGGAATATTAAGACTTGATCATCATGCCGCAATTCATCTTGATCTTGACTTTGAAAGGAATCTCTGACAGCACGTGTTCAAGGGGACGAAAGCACGTCAGAGCTGACTTTCTTTTGTTCCATGATTTTCGGTAAGTAGGAGCTCTAAGAATAAGACAAAGAGTTGGCAGCGCGTGTCATGGTCGGACTTCCCTGGTAGCAGCATGCTAAACCCAGTAATGGAGAAGGATGAGGCAAAGAACGAACTGATTTGCGAGGACGATAGTTTTAGCTTCGAGAAGAGGGGAAATGATGCGACGGAGGATCTTTTTAGGTGGCCAGTAGTCGTTGATGCAGCGGTGCAGAAATAGGTCTAGAACTAGATGTTGTACTAGAAGGAACTTGAGGTAGCAGGTGGTAGTTGGTAGTAGTGGTTATTTCTGTGAGTAGACCTTCTAGAGGAAATCCATGGGACGATCATTTTCGTGAGGGGGGAGGACATACTTACCTTCTAACGAGTGCAAAAGTGCATGTTTGGGGGATATTCTTTGTGCGGCGTTTGCGTTCAGGGAACGCCAGTTTTGTCATGGTTGCCGAGGACCCCTGCGCAAACCAGCTAATGACGATAAGGTGAAAGTTATGATGAAGTTGTAGAAGGAGTTGCAGTTGCTGTATGTGTAGGCTTAAGTAGTTGAAGCATGATTCGAGGAATAACGGAGGTATTGCCGCAATTTATTACTTGCTTCATCTGCTTCTAAGTCCTGCTACGTGAAGAAAAAGACACGAGAGCGAAAGCTGTTACAGGCAGTGCGGAACCAAGTGCCAGCTACAAGAACGATCCGGTTGCCGGGATCTCTGTTTCACGACTCTAGGAAGGCCTTGCTCGCAGGCGAAACTTATCTGCGAATAGGAGCGATGACAGGTGAAGTGAGTGGGGCGTTTATGGTTGTGCAGCTGACTCACTAATGCAGCTTTTTTAGTTGACCTTATTACAGATGAGCTTTTGCTCAAGATGAAAATGAATCGAGCAGGACATCGCTGCAGTAGTTTTACATCCGATCATAGTACCAACGCCGAGGAAATTGAGCAGAGAAGTAATAAGTACTCGGTATACACAAACACATTAAAAGATAATAGAGTAGACTGTTGTTCTTCTTGCTGTGAATGGTTCATCACCTCCATTAGAAGTACGTCCTTACTATCTCGTCTAACGACCCTACCACCCAAACGCCGACCATCCTCCTCCTGCGCGAGCTAAAGCTTGTGTATCGACCAACAGAAGCTCGTGCCTTGGGAGGCGAGGGGAAATTGAGCGGCTACTCCTTACAAGACCTCGACTGTCGCAAAGCGCATCACTCAGAAGAGGAAGCTTCATTTATGATGAGGATGAAAGTCGTCGTCGTGCTCGTGGACACTGGACAGGTCTAGTACGTCTAGAAGCTGTACTGGCTTTAGTACTTGGTTAGTACTAGTTGCACTTATAATAGAACACTTCGTAAGAAGGATGTTGGATTGCATGGCATTGCATGCATTGCATGAGCCGAGGGGGTCAGCGTGCGACCTTCTTAAGGGAGCGACACGGGAATGAAGACTCAGGGCGCGGCATAGGAGTACTTGGCTCCGTTGTAGGAGTACTTGAATAGTGCTGGCACATGCTAGCTTTTGTAAGTAGCTCGACTGGGCTAGCTTGCCTGTGATCTCGACCGTCTTGCTCACTGTTCCTTTGCGCACACAGGCCACGGCGTTTGCGCTGCTCCTTGCTTGTTTCTGGGGGCGAGGTCACAGTGGGGCCGTGTTTGTGTTCGTGTATCGTAGAGCAATTCTTCGGCGGAGCAGCCCGGTATTGCGGAGGAAGTATGGCGCCCGAAGGGCGCCGCGAAAAGTATATTGCTTTTTGGGTGGTCCATCCATGCAATGCATGCCATCCATGCCATGCAATCCAGAATCTCGGAGGTTGCCTGATATTCTATTATAATGATGTGAGCACTAGTTGCGCTTACATATATTAGAGAGTTTCGCTTTTTCCAGATTTCTAAAATGCATGTTAGGGATTGCATGCATGGCAGAGGATGGCACTATTTAGAATGAAGATGCTTCTTCGGGCGCCATCGTCCGCGCTCACTGTAGTCGTGTTTCACCTTCCAACAGCTTGGGCACAAGCAACTTCGAAGCATTCGCATCCAGGCGCAGCATGCGCAGGCTACAGTCATAACACCCCCCCCCCCCCAGAGACCACCTCCCCAACGCCGGCAACGCAGAGGACCATAGAGACGCGCCGTAGCCTGTGTGTGCACGCAAGAAAACTAGCGCACTTGCCGCGCGCCCACTTAAACCTTGCCGGAAACCAAGGCTAGACTGAAAGCCAGACGCCACTGCGTTCCTGTTACTTCTAACGCGGGCCCATAGCGAAAAAGTATAAGCATCATTATACTGTAAGCACACCGGTCGCAAGCATGGCAATTCCATCCTGGGGGGCAGTGGGGGACTTCATAACCTAACACCTTAAGCACTTATGCCTACCGACCTTTACGCACTTACTTCGGGGCCCGGCTTCTAGTTCTATCTAGCTGCGAACGTCGTGGCTACTTTGCTGCCTGTCATCTCCAACGCGGCCAGGCGTCAGGCGCTCTGCGTCCTCCCTGCAGCCAGCTCGAACTGAAAGGGCCTCCGCGCGCGGCCTGACCCCTACGAGAAACGGCCCCCCTATCCGCGGGCGGGCAGAGCCCAACAAGATAAGCAAGGGAACGGCCCTCCCGCCCGTGGCCTTGTCAGGCGGGGCGCTGCGTTCAAGCAGAGAAGTGCGCGCTTCCCCTTTAAAAAGGTCACGCTTTCGCTCCGCCTGGCCACGCCATCCATGCAATGCATTGCAATCCATGCAAGCCATCATCCATCTTAGGAGGTGCCCTAATATATTAAATATTATATATTGTATTCCAGGGCGCGGGGCGACGCCCCCCCCCCCCTAGCGGGGGGGGGCCGGGCGCCCTGGACCCCTTTTTGAGGCCTCTGCCGGGGGGGGAAGGCCTCAAAAGGCCCCCCCCACCCCCCCCTGTCCCCTTCCAGGTGCTTGGGGTCCCCTAGAGGCCTCAGACGTAGGTGGAAGGCCTCAAGAGGGCCCCAAGGGAGGCCGCCGCCGGTTCCTCCCAGCTGCTTGGCTGTCCCGCAGAGGCCTCCGACGTAGGTGGAAGGCCTCAAGGGGGGCCAAGGGGCTCGCTGCCTCCTTCTCGTTTGCATGTACCCGACAGGCTTGAAGGGGTTAGATGGCAGCAGTGCACCGGCGGAAGGCCTCAAGAGGAGCCCAACCCCAAGTGGCTGCCCCCGCTTCCTCCCAGCTGCTTGGCTGTCTTGTAGAGGCCTTCTCCAAAGGCGGAAGGCCTCAAGAGGAGGCCAAGTGGCTGCCTCCGCTTCCTCCCAGCTGCTTGGCTGTCCCGCAGAGGCCTCCGACGCAGGTGGAAGGCCTCAAGGGGGCCAAGGGGCTTGCTGCCTCCTTCTCGTTTGCGTGTACCCTACAGACCGGAGGGGTCCGATGGCAGCAGTGCACCGGCAGCGGAAGGCCTCCGAAGACGGCAAAAGGCGAAGGGCTGGACCCCCTGCGCCGTGCCGCTTGAACCCTCCGGGCCCTTGGTCATCGGCTTGCCTGCGACCGTGGCCCTTCGGAACACGCTGAGAGGCCCAAGGGGAGGAAGGCGCCAAGTTTTGATGCCTCCCACAACTAGAATCCGCGAAAAATCCGCGCGGAAGAGCGCGCGGGCGCGCCACCACAGACCAGACCACAGGGTTGGGGGAGGGGGGCGTGCGGCCCTGGATCATATATAAGTCGACGGTCATTGAAGAACTAGATGTGCTAGGTTGGGCAGCATCTTCAGCAAGTCGTGATACGCAATTTGCTTTATCAACAGCCAAGTTTTGTCCTCCTCTAACCCTACATTCTGTTCCAGGGATCCAGGTTGCTCGATGATTTTCGAAGCCGATGCGGATAACGTTCCAGTATGGTATATCTGCTACATTTACCCTGTGCCGGCAGATGTTGTGAGACAGGTGGAACAAGGGCGATAGAGGGCAAGTGAAACGGGGTGGTCGACAGAGGGAACACGTGACACCTGTTGTACTGAGGCAGCTGAAACAGGGACGATATAGGGAGGATTTGAACGTGTGGCGAAGATATTCTTAAATTTTTTAGTGAAGATGCTGTAGACCTTTGAGTTTGTGTTTGTCGTTTTCACCAGTTTCCAGAACAAATACAAGTAGCGAGACCGAACAATAAAAATACTATAATACAAGAACTTACCAGCAAAAAATCGTTTGAAATAAGCCTAGTTTACAGAAGCAAGTATCACATTAAAAGTTAGATCGTCCAACGTTTCTAGTGACGTATGGAAGAGGCAAGCAGTTGAAAGAGAGACACGACTAGAAAGAGTCTCTACGCATGATTCCGTCGTGTGTGAATTAAAGCAACGTCTATGCTGGACGTACGTTTCGTTTTATCATTTTTATCATGCTTGATTATACATAGATGCGTGTAGATGTACTGCTCTCTTACCAGAATGGTAAGCATTGTGAGTCAGTGCTTTGTAGGTTCCCTGTACAGAACACATTTGGAATGCAGCAGCCATATTTGTGTAGTGGTGAATCACTGTACTGTAGTCATATTTACACAAACACAACTCAGAGTGCATATGAAATGAGTACACGCCGGGGTAAAGCCGCATTATAGCTGAGTTGTAGTCTCTTTCTTTTCACAGAATATCGATTGTTGTGCGCATCGTCGTCCTCTAGAAGAATCATAAGCCTCCCAGTAGGAGGTCGTGTAGTGAATGAAGAAGAAGGGTGAGAGCGGTTTTTCGCGACGCAGCCATCTTCATAGCAGAAGCCTGTATGACACGCAAGAGTGGGCGTCTTGTGAAAGACATGCTGCGTGGTAAAGAGGGTAGCAGCAATGTTGGTGTCACAGAGGAGAGTATTAAGCATCGACGAAGCCTTGTCCCTTAGGTTTCCGAATGAGAGCGAGCGGGCCGGGCCCTAGAGTGCGTTTCTATACAGGGAAATCGAAAAGACGCATGCGTAAAGATAGGCACTTCCAAGTGAAAAAAACAGCGCATGTTCACGTGGAAGATGGGCACGAGGCTCTCAAAAGCATGAAGATAGGACAACAATCTCTGGTTCTTCTCAAACGGCATCGTCTTCATAATATGCGTCTCTGCATGTCTATCAAGCAAAACTGTGTTGAGGTCTTACCTAGTGGCTACAGCTACAGGTGCGATCAGCAATAGTATGAACCCAGAACAACGATGCGATGAACTTGAACGCGAACGACGCAAAAGCAAATAAAACAATCATGAATGAAGAAGTAAACAAAGAAAAGCATTAACATAGCAAGGCCGTACCCAGGACGCGGGCGCTTTTATATGGTCTCAAAAATCGTCCAAAGCAAAAAGACGAAAACAAGTGTTCCATATTTATTGGGCTTTTCCCTTTGCTTGTTCCCACACTGATTTTCTCTGTCTCTACTAGAATGAATCTGCATGCTCACGCTGAGTTTACTGAGCGACGCTTTTAATTGGTACTTTTCCGCTTATTAAGCCGACTGGTGAATTCGCTCTGGTCATGCGCACAGCGCACCGACTACCGATTTTCCGCTCCTTCGTGATTTTGACTACCAAAAAAATTGCTCTGCGTGCTACTTTGTCTTACAGCCACTCCCTGTACTTAGTTACCAATCTTCATTTATTTGCTCTCCATCAACTCCAGAATACTCAGTGCCCTTTTCGTTTTCGCACTTGCCTCTTCTTGCAGTTGCGCCAGCACGTCCTCCGACTTATTCCCCCATCGCAACTCGCTCTATTCCTACCTGGCTCACACAGGTCCGTGACCTGACAGTTCTTGTTCCTCTTCGTCTATCTTCCCGGTCTTCTTCGTCCACCTCCCCTAATGGATCTTCTGCCTTAATAATGTGAGGTTTTTTTTAGGGCGAAACGGGAAACAAAGGGAGGCCGCGCAGGCCCTGTTGACAAGAAAGATCCACTTGGTGTTTCCAATCATATTCAGTATTGCTCTCCTATTTATTTGGGGAAAGTGGTAAGGAACTTGAAGGACAGAGACAACGGTGCTGAGTTTAAACTTTTCATGATGACGAGATTGGACCATTCAGATGTCGAGATCGGGCTTCTACAACATCAAGTTGATTTTATTTTGGATGAACGATAGACTCGCGTAAGATTTTGTCCGTTTCATTTCAGTAGGCTCACTTGAAGAAGCAGATTTCTTCTAGCGTAAGTAGTTGTTCGTATAAGCCATTTTATATCCTGAAAGAAGTAGCAAGCAATGACATCCGCAGTGCCATGTTCAAACAAGTTGTGAAGGAGCATATTTATTAGCTACTTTCTTAGAACCTTTGGTGATCGGACCTTGTGCATTTTCCATCTTAGGTTCTTTATCTTTTTAAGCTCTCCTGGTTATCGTTATATATATTTATATTAATGCATTAAGTATATTTTTTAATATTATTGTCTCTATTTGTATTCGATTGAAATTAAATACTTACAAGCACAACTCGAACTCAAGAACTCGCGCTTCTGCTCTTTCTGCGTGTCTTCAACACGACGTCCTATCATTTGGGCCCCGACTACCGCGTCCGCGCGCTACAGGTCGTCCTATCCCCCACTCTTATCAGCTTGCAGCATACCAAGTCATGCTATTAGATGTTGTCCGTTGTCATCCCGGACGCGCCAGAAGTCCCCGGTCTGTTTCCTAGTGGAAATCCTACCACGGTTTCGGCGCCAGGATGGATTTTTCTAACATCTCTTAACAGTCTTCGGTAGACGCATTCGCAGCCTCGCACGACGCCTCAGTCCAACTTGTATTGTTAGAAAGACCAAAACCCTACGAAAAATCTGCACTTTATTACTTTCAAGCGTGTGGAAAGTTGTGGCAGTTGCGCCCTGAGTTGTGGGAGTCGAGTTGTGGAGGCTGTGCCCTAAGTTGTGGCGACTGTTTTCTGAAAGTTGTGGAAGTTGCGAAAGGAGCTGTGACGAGTTGTGCGCAGGCGGAAAGCATATGAAAAGGGCCGGGCGTACTCCCAAGCCGTTCGAATTTGAACACGATAAAGCCCACGCGATTCTTCGGAGCCTCATGGTGTTCAAATTCGAACGGCCAAAGAATAAAGCGCGCCTTCTTCATCGGGCTGCTTCGTACAACTGAGCCCACAACTCCCACAGCGTACGACATAACCCCCACAACCTACGCCACAGCAGGACACAACTGCTACAGCTACCCAGATCTGGGGCCAGTCGAGTGAGAAGCGCAAAAGCGACCTTATAGGCGAGTGGTCTGCCTAACATGGTCGCGCGAGCGGGAATCAGAAGCAAAAAAACTCCTGAGCGGTCTTGGGTCAACCTAGCCTAGCCCCCTGGCGTGGTTCCCCGGCGGAAGGGTGCGACGCGTGGGAGCCCGAGACACTTGCTAGAAAAAAGAAGTCGGCACACGTGGATACCCTTCAGCAGGCGCCAGATTTGACAAGAAGCCGAAAAAAGGTTCTGACCGAGCAGGATGGTCGGTGACTGAAGTAGTACTGCGTTAGATTTGAATAACAGCGCGGCGCGATCTTGTGCGGGTGCATTACGCACGAAAGGGGCGGACTCACCTGCGGGCCTGTCTTCAGGCGGAAGACATAAGCAAGAGCACGCCCTTAGGGGCAGACCCATCCGCAGGGGCCTGAGGCTTCCAGAGGCCACGCGGGTCCGCTGCCTGGGGTTCAAAATTGTAGCTAGGGGCGCGCTGCCTTTTTTGAGTCATGGCGCGCGGGCAAGGCGCTGCAAACAAGTGACACGACTGCCGTTGGCCGCCGCCTCGCGCTGTCCATCGGGTAGCGCGAGCCCAGGGAAGGGGCAAGAGGAGAGCGGGGCGGGAAGGTTGACGTTGACGCCTGAGCTCTTATAATTCACGCCCTAACTTTCAAGATTCGCGCCGCAGCTTTCACAGCTCACGCCTTAACGAAACTCGCAAGGGCCACGCCCTAGCTTTCAAAATTCACGCCCTTACTTTTCGCACCCCCGTCCCTACTTTCTTCCAAATCAAATCCCACGCCCTATCTTTCAAAATTCACGCCCTAGCCCTCAGAGCTCACGCGCCAGCGTTCAAAATTCGCGCGGAGCTTTCAAAACTCACGCCCTAGCTTTCAAGGCCCACGCGCTGGCTTTCCAATTTAGCGCAATAAATTGCGCCACTCATGTCCGGCCTTTCAGCATTCATCTCCTAGCCTTGTCCCGCAGCTCATGCAGCTCGAGCTTTGCTCTCGCGGTTCACGTCTTGACTTTCCGAGGTTATTCGCTTGCGCTCAAAATTCAAAGTCTAACCCTCGCAGTTCATGCCTGAAGTTTCAGAGTTTAAATTATGTCCTAACTTTCAGAATTTGCGCCCTATTTTTCAGAATTTGCCTTTGCGGCCTTTCGCAATTCTTGAGCATAGCAAAGCGCTGCGCGCTTTTGCGGTTTTGCCGCTGCGTTTGCTTTTGTGCAAAATTCAAAACCGAGACTCAAAATCAAAGGCCAAGCCCAAAGCGAAAAGCCCAAGATCTGAATAAAGCCAAAAAGCCAAAACGAGGGCAAAGCTTTGCGAGACAAATAAAAAGAGTGCTCGACAGAAGGACAAGGCCCCCCGCGTGCTTGGTCCAGTTTGATTTCAGACAACTGTGAGCACTTGGACACTTTAGGCGCCTATTGCTATTACCATCTTAGGCGAGTGCACTACTTCACTCATAAGCTCAGGCTGCCATGGCAGATTTATCTCACTATATTTCCCACGCGCGTGGTGCTCAGTGTGGGCCGGATCGCAGCCTCTATTCTTCACGCAAACAAACAGCTTCCGCTCGGGATGAGGGCGGTGACTGATAAGCACAGGCGCTAGAAGTGAAAAGGGGCTGGAGGAGTGTACGCACGGGCACAGCGAGAGAAAAGGTCCTAACCCTCTTACTGGGAGCATCGTGAGGATGGGGAGTAGATATAGGAGATACTTACTGGGCGATGCCCAGGCCGATTTACTGAGCAGTTACAACTTAGGGACCATCTACTTACCTTCAGGACCCTAAGTAAACTAAAGGACTGGCGTAATGAATGCGCAACGCAGTCTCATAGCACTAGTGGTAGTGGTAGCTGTCGGAGGGCTAGGGCTATTCTTAGTATTAGCGCTAGCAGTAGGAGTAGCGCAACCACTACTGTAGTGGCAGTTGTAGTAAGTGCCTCCTAGTAGCAGTAAAAGTGGTAGTCGTAGTAGTGGTAGCAGCAGCATTTGCAGAAGTAGGAGGGGCAGCAATTGCAATAATAGTAGTAGCGGCAGCAGTAGTAGTGTAGGAGTCGGAGTAGTAGCCGCGGCGGTAGTAGTAGCCGCGGCGGTAGTAGTAGCAGCAGGAGGAGTAGTAGGGGGAGTAGTGGTGGTAGTGGTGGTAGTGGTGGTAGTGGTGGTAGTGGTGGTAGTGGTGGCAGTGGTGGTAGTGGTGGTAGTGGTGGTAGTGGTGGTAGTGGTGGTAGTGGTGGTAGTGGTGGTAGTGGTGGTAGTGGTGGTAGTGGTGGTAGTGGTGGTAGTGGTGGTAGTGGTGGTAGTGGTGGTAGTGGTGGTAGTGGTGGTAGTGGTGGTAGTGGTGGTAGTGGTGGTAGTGGTGGTAGTGGTGGTAGTGGTGGTAGTGGTGGTAGTGGTGGTAGTGGTGGTAGTGGTGGTAGTGGTGGTAGTGGTGGTAGTGGTGGTAGTGGTGGTAGTGGTGGTAGTGGTGGTAGTGGTGGTAGTGGTGGTAGTGGTGGTAGTGGTGGTAGTGGTGGTAGTGGTGGTAGTGGTGGTAGTGGTGGTAGTGGTGGTAGTGGTGGTAGTGGTGGTAGTGGTGGTAGTGGTGGTAGTGGTGGTAGTGGTGGTAGTGGTGGTAGTGGTGGTAGTGGTGGTAGTGGTGGTAGTGGTGGTAGTGGTGGTAGTGGTGGTAGTGGTGGTAGTGGTGGTAGTGGTGGTAGTGGTGGTAGTGGTGGTAGTGGTGGTAGTGGTGGTAGTGGTGGTAGTGGTGGTAGTGGTGGTAGTGGTGGTAGTGGTGGTAGTGGTGGTAGTGGTGGTAGTGGTGGTAGTGGTGGTAGTGGTGGTAGTGGTGGTAGTGGTGGTAGTGGTGGTAGTGGTGGTAGTGGTGGTAGTGGTGGTAGTGGTGGTAGTGGTGGTAGTGGTGGTAGTGGTGGTAGTGGTGGTAGTGGTGGTAGTGGTGGTAGTGGTGGTAGTGGTGGTAGTGGTGGTAGTGGTGGTAGTGGTGGTAGTGGTGGTAGTGGTGGTAGTGTTGTGCGCCTTACGAGTTGCGCGCCCCTCCCCTAGTGGGGGTAGTAGCAGTAGTAGTAGCAGTAGCGGTAGGAGTAGGAGAGAGTAGGAGTAGGGGTAGTAGTATCCGGAGTAGTTGAGCGCAGTGCTTCAACCACTATGCTGAGAACCGAAAACAACAGGCCCGAGGAGTAGTAGTAGGAGTAGTAGTAGTTGCGAATCCCTTCACGGGGTACGGTCCGAAGTTTGCAGAGGTAAGGGAAGGGGGGAGAGAGCTGTCTCAAGGTTTGGGGGGTTGGATGCTTGTGCAGATGATTGAGTTGGGGCATGCCCCTAGCTCATAATTATGTTGAAAAAAGAGAAGTATAATTGCTAGTTGTAGAAAGTTTCGTTAGTTTACATAAATCATAAAATGAAAGTAGTAGATGTAGAAGTAAAAGTACCCAACAAAAACGATGAGAATTTACAGCGATTTTCATAGGAGGTGAATAAATGACGAAAGACGATGACGAAAAGAGAAAGACTCTACTTGATAAATTAATAAATATGCGTGACGAGAAGTTCAGCAGTCGCTATACTTTCTTTTTCAATTTATCTATTTCCTTGCGCTTTTTTTTGGATTTGTGTGTCGACCGAAAGATATTCCACTTTACTTCCACGACGCCTTTTCGGACTCTTTAAAGATTAGTATGGGAGGTACGAAGTGCCGCGAATGATGAATATAGTGGCGAACATCGCCTGACGAGGAACAAGTGCAACTGTTTAGTGTTTCGACTAGCATCTTGCGTTGCAACTACTTACGACGAGCAGCCATTTTCACAGTGCCATACCCACCGGCATGTCTGTATCACACGCGCTATCGGGATCGCTATCGAAACCCGCCCCACACAGTCTTGTCTTGTCTTCCGTTCTGCGCAATCACCTAAGATCGAGAACAATTAATTATGCAGGACAGCTTTCGCTCCTAACAAATTATCTGTATTATTAACTGTTTAAAAATGAAATTTGATTTTTTTTAGCAGCTCGGTGAAACGAAGCTCAAAAAAGAAAAATCAGGAAAATATTGAGAAATCCATACGTAATTTGCAACTGCAACTTAATGAGTAACTTCGAAAGATAGAAAGAACGTATGTAGAAAAAAATAAAATTCTGCAACTGCGTACTGCAACGGTTGTTGATATACTGGAGCCCAACTAAATTTTCAGAAAAACAAATACGTAATATGGAGCCCAATGACCAATCACAACCAACACACGCACATCTACAGCATTGCAATCTATTGTCTCTATTGACTCTCAGGAGTGAAAAGTACGTTCAGACTCATAAGAAGCGGGGACTTCCTGTTCCGCCTCAGCAGTCTTGAGATCCACCTTTTTATCGGCTAAGAACTGCTCATGGTTCTCGCCCTCTTCAAGGAAAGAGGTCCCCAAACGCTCGGATCCTCGCAACATATACGAAAAAGCGCCCGCAGCTTTTGTTAGAAGATGCTTCTATACTTTCCTCATTATTCGGATACAGATGCGATAATCTCACAAATTCAAATACATCTTCTGCGTGTGCATGTGTCTCGTCGTGTCTGATTTGAATACTCTTCCGAAACCCTAATGTCACAAGACAGATGATGATGAAATAAATTTCCCACGAGATCGCGATAAGCGTAAGCGCTCTCGACGTCTTCCCTTTCTCTACTTGCTGATCTTAAGTTAGTAGATTGTTGGCAGCACAGTCTCACGGCCCTACTGTAAAAATTTGTTTTCGTAGATAGGGGGCTAGTCAAATAATGACAAAAAACGACAAAGACAAATTACCAAAATCCTATCTGCCTCTAGTGCCTATCGCCTTCTCCTTGGTCTACTTGATGACAGCATGCATGCGGATATTTCACGAAAGCCTTAAGCTTCTCTCTCGCTGGATCGTGTTGTTTAGTGCGTGGGCACTGGTTGTAGTCACCACCAGAAGTGTCACGAAAACGAAAAAAATCTTCGACATGTTTTGTTGTTCGTTGTAGAAATTCTAGATGAACAAGAAATTCTTGTTCTAGAGATAGTGATAGTAGTGGACCACCTGCTCTTGCTTTCAGCAGACCGTAGAAGTAGAAGTTGTAAGTGAGTTTTTTATGCACGTACACGTACTACAGAAATACTAGCAGTACTAGTGTGCAAGTGCTTCTTGCTCGAGGATAGAGTACTGAAAGTACTACTTACAAGTTGTGCCCACTGTCAAGCCCAAAATTTTTTCTGCTAATATCTTTCAAAAGTGTGGGATAGTCGTGTTAGTGACATTATTATTGTTCTAGTATTACTAATACTATGCATAATAAAAACTAAGTACTAATATGCATATTGCTTTTCCACCGACTACGATCGATCTCTATTTTTCAGAAAATGTGATCAATACAGTTAGATTTAGAAGACTAAGAGGCTTATAATTGGCATGACGAATTCATCGTCATGGCTTGGCAGATTTTGAGGTTGTGTGGAAGGGTGAGGTATCCCGCAAGGGGTACTTATACGGGTACTTATACGTTGTCGCTATTTATTTCATCTCTCGATGAAGGCGCATGACAGGACTGCTAGTCCCCGAGACAAAGGTCGGACCTAGATCCGACCGACCCCAAATTCTCATAGGCATCGGCAATCCTTTTTCTATATTTTTGGGCACAACAAGAGCAAAGAAGAAAAGTTTTTTATTTTTGCCCACTAATGTGGACAAAGAAGAGCTACGCATGGGCGAACCTGCACAGGCGAAGCAAGTTGAACATAGGGGCTGCCCCGACTGAACGAAAAGAGACGCCAACCCGACCGAAGGGTGGGGCAGACCCATCCGCCAAGGACTGGGGGACGCCAAATGCGCGAGGGAGACACCCTATGATACTAAAAACTCAAGCGCAAGACTTGGCTTGAGACCATGTCTCAGCGCTTAAGACTTATGACACTTTAGACCATGTTTCAGTGCTAGGCCCCTGCACCTTACCACTTGACATGTTGACAAAAAGAAAATCTAAATTTTAGACTTTGTACTTTGGCGGATTCTGGCAGCTATCTGGCAGACGATTGCAGTGCAGGAGGCAGAGGCTGCCCTTGCATCAGGCTAAGTGGATACTATCTATCGAGGATATCAAAGGCAAGGCCAATCAATTTGTTTTCAATCTACAGTTTTTCGAGTCGCTCGTCCCCGTTCTTTCGCGTACTAGACTCGTACCCTCACCCTCGTTCTTCTATAATCGACCACGTAAACGTAAAGCACCTTTTTCATTTTCTTTTCTCGAACGAAGCGACCATGAGCATGTTTGCGACAGTGTGACAATCTACTAGAACTTTTCAACTTCAAGTTGAACACGATTGGACAAACAAGTCAGCCGCCCTCAGTCGCATCTGCGGGGAAAGAGGTTACTGCTCACTTGCACTTCCCCCCGACGAAACAGGTACTGCAGTAAGAACAAGCTCGTCCTCCAATAATTTATCTAGAAGGAAGTAAAGCTTTGTTGTGCTCTCTTCTCTTCATTCTTGATGTTTCCGCCACCGTCCAAAAATGACGGCCTCCCACACGAATGCGCCAAAATACTATAGTTATAGAACATGCGCCGGGCCCATTGCTTTCCCCTCCTGAGCGCCTAGGGGTAGCACTATCCGGCTAAACTTAGCGCCAGTTCTGCCAAATTGGCTGGGTGCCCATTCGGCTAACGGCATGCCCTTCTGGTCGCAGGTTCTTTCTGCCAGAGGTTTCATACAATGCCACCGAAGTAGATGAACGGACAGAACATAGTAGCCAATAAGAAACCGTTGTGGCCACCTTCTCTGTAATACCCGGCAGCAGCGAAATTTATGGTGATGAAAGCAAAAGGAAAATTATCTATAAACCGATGCAAGCGAAGGAGTACGAGAATGAGAAACCGATCATGCAGCTTGTAATAGTAGTACAACAGTGGAACACACTAGTCTTTGATGCTGCAAACAACAATCTGAAGGACGAGCCAAACATTTCAATTCTAGGAGCCTGCTGACTCTGACAACATGCCCATGCTCATCCTTCAGAGCGTTCGTCTTGTTCATCGTTACTTAACGTGATGAATGCTGTCTTCAACTTCATCAGACCTAAAACGATAAAAATGAAATGCAAATCACTGTTCTCTTGCTCTTGCCTGTTATTTCTTCATTCCAGTTGCCGACGTTGACCATTCTTCTACTCGCTTGCCATGCCTGACGATGAATCACCGTGAATTTCGTCCACGAGCACGAGCCCGACGTACGAACTTCATGAACATGATCAACATCAAGCCTGTACTTAGACACCATCAACAGCAAGCATAGAAATCAATCGGCTGATGTACTAGACACCAAGTAGATGCTATGCCACGGTGATTCCTTCGAGCAACTCGCACCCTGTTTGCTTGCGAGTTGCTCGAAGCATTGACTAACATCTGCCTACGTCGCTCAGCCCGACGCAAAGATACTGTTTTAGCCACAATAGCAATACACATAAAAGTTGAGAAGTCTGAATATTATCTGAATTCTACACCTAATACTCCTTCAGATAAAAATCTTCAAAATACTGTAAAATAAATGGACTAGACGTCGTACACGTACGTGTAGGAGTTCGAGTATTACTATTTATTACCTTGCTTGACACTTGATATTCGTAGTTGGATCTTACTTTTGATCAGAGGAGGTAATGGTAAGAATTCTTGGAAATTATTACAGAGACACGATTTTCTAATCTATCCAATTCCAAAGTAGAAGAGCATGCGCATCTTCATCGTCCTTGTACTCGCTCAGAACAAAGAGGACAAAGAAGTTAATTTCTCCGATACTCACGCTGCTGCACCTTGAAAGATGTGCAACAGCTACTTCGGCTGTATGATCCTATAACATACTTGAAATGCACCAAAATGTACCCAAAAAATGATCATACATGATATTCAACGCTACAGCCTGTACTTTTCATCGATTTTGTGTTCACTTACGATATTCTGAAGGTGACAGACTTACTTCAGTACCAGTGTTCTGCTCATCTAAAAAAGCTGACTACAGCAGCTGTAAGTATTCATTCTGTCATCTGAATTATTCATCACAAAGACTTTGAATTTCAAATTCCTTGTTTGGTGGTAAAAAGTATTCATGAATATGAGAGACATACTGATACTTCGTGTGAGAGACATACCACTACTAACTACTGCGTCCTTCGTTCTACTACAATGAATAGGATCTACAGCGCTTTTGTTACAACCCGAAGCTGAAATGATCTTTGAAAATGAATACGGGTACGCGTACGCAATCCGCCTACAACCACAAGGACGTAGTTCTACTTCGTACTGGTCTTTTGAGCGTCATGTTTCTACACCATGTTTATTTTGTGATAAAAATGACAGACTTCTCTTAATAACTGCTCACTGCGATGTTGTACAAACATTGGTACTTCGTGTTAGAATCTAACGATAATCCTTATCCAACGAGCACACGGCCCTGCTGCAAAAAGTATTATATATTGTATTTAAACGAATCGATTTCTGCTTCTCTTTATTTGAACTTAAAGTAAGTATTGCTCCGAGCACAAATACAAAATCTTGACTTTCTTATCCTCTTCCTCTTGCTTGATGCTTGTTGTCGTTATCTTCTCAATTTGGTCAGAGGGCTCTCACAAGAGCAGCCACGATGAGAGCGACGAAGGCATGACACGCCTCAGTAGACTTCTGACGCTATGCAGAATGGACGTGGTTGAGCTCGACGCAGCTCGTTCCTGCTGCTCCACTACTTGATGATGATGTCCTTCATGTCTTCCTCGGACAGCACGAGAGTGATCCTCCTGCTCTACTACGTTGTCTACTCTGGTGGCTTTTTTCCCTTTCCCCTTCCTTCGACGCTTCTGTTCTTTCTCTACCGTCGCGGTACGTAGAGCGCGGCCAGCATCTTGTTCCTCCTCGTCATCTCTTCTACTTCTTTCTTCTACAAGGTCAAGATGGTGTTTGGCTTTGCCGGATTTTTTCTTTCTTGATGTAGTTGTAGCCCATCGAGAAACAAGTGGACCTGCATGATCTTCACTTGGTATTTCGCCATCTCCTACTTCTATGTCAACATCTTCAGCATGCTGCCCTACTTGATCTTGTTCTTGCTCCTTGTTAGTGTGATGCCTCCGTATTTTTTGGTCCGCCTCCGCCTTTTCTGCCTTCGCCTTGTCCACCTGCTTGTCCAGCCCCTGCTTTTCCCCTAGGTCCTCTGCTACCTTTTCATCTTTTTGCAACAGAGCTATCCCTCTGCTAGACGAAGTTGAAGTTCTACTACTACGACTACCTGGTGGATGCAATTTTGCACCTTCCTGCAAAAAAGCCGTTCCAGAGTCTCCAGAGTCATCGTTTGTCAACGCCGTCGTCGAGTCCGTAGCGCCAGCCTTTGTTGCCTCGTCGCCCTTTGAGCAGAATCTTTTATCGATAGTCTCGTAAATCGGAGCACCGTAGCCGACGATTGAGATATCAGGAATTAGAAGATGAATGTCAATGAGGTAACTTGTGCCTGTACTTGTTCTTAGGTACTAGGAATTACTAAGTGTAAAACTCACAGTCACCTCAAAACAAGAACATTTATGATTTTCGGGTTCGCCCTCCGCTTCCCCCGCGCGTAGTATTGTGCTATAATTCTGTCGAATGTATTATCTTCTACCGGCTCAACAACCTGGAGGAGGTATTCCCTTGAACAAGTAGTTCAACTTCAAGGAAAAGAAAAAACTGTACTACAACTTCTTTTCTAAGCGTAAGCCTCCATGCTTGTTCGTCATAAGAAAAGACTCAGTCTCCTTCTCGCAATCGTGCTATTCTGGAGTTCCACGTAGACGTACTTTCCGGAATAAGGTTCACAGTTCACGGAAAGGGTTACATACGGTTCGCTGTATCTCGACAGGCCTGACGCTACTACTTTCTGCGATGACAACAGCCTTCCAGCTCGAAAATGGATGACGTCGCATACGCCAGGGTTCGCTGTGTGGTTGTTACTGGGAGCGATTATGTTAGAAGACGTCGAACAGAAGTGCAACTGCTACAGCTACGAAATCCTGTAAGCTAATGAGAGATGTTGAACGATCATGATTATATCGCGACCTAGGAGCATTACTTGTAGTGGTTGGAAAAGAAAACTAAATTCAGATTCAGTGAACAAAGTGTTCTATAAAAAGAAGTGAAGATCCTCAATTAAGTACCTCTAAACCTCTAACTCTATCTCAACAGCCAAACACAAACTGAATCCAGCATCGTCTTGATCATAACAGTCGTCGAGTTTGTTGAAGGGGCGGGCGTAGTTGACTCGACGAAGGGGGGATAAGCTGAGCGACATTTGCCATCCGGCCTCTTTTGGTCAGCTACACCAATCACTATGCCAAGATCTTCTTCCAAGTAAGGCTGCATGTGGTCCGAGTCTTAGATGTGGCCGCCTCACAACGACTGCTTGTTGAGCAACATTCATTGGTTTCTTTGATCTTTGGTCTTGGTGCATGATCCCTCCTATTCTTGTCTATTCCTCTCATTGTGGTCCACCTTCTCTAAATCCTCAAGGAGGTTTCTCAGGTTTTTTCTTTTTTCTCGTCTTGCAGTTGAAGTTAGTAGTCGATGTTGGACAACTACTACAAGAAGTACCTACAATACTACAAAAAACTATTAGACTTTTACTCCACGAAAAATTATAGCCTTACACATGCCAGGAAATGTTCATTCCGAAGGAATCGGATCCCGTTGCGCCAGGCACGTAGCTCTCGTTTCGGGCGAAAGGCATACTGAAGTTTGCCCAGATGTAATCGCTGTTTTCTTCAGCATAGAAAATACGTTTCAACTCGCGAAAACACATGTAGTCCATGCGCGAGTTCTCTTCTGGATCGACACAGCCGGGAAGTGTTATTTTCACCTCTCTCACCCGCTTGTACTGCAAGTCAATGCGCGAGTTGATTGCATCCCACTGATTCTTAGAAGGAGCAACATACTAAGCAAAACCTGTCTTACTTCTATACCACACCCATAGAGCATGTAGTTGTTCTTATTTGCTCTGCGTCCAAAAACGGCACCAACGAATTTGTTGCGAACAAGGAATATGGCATATGATTTCAAATTTTTAGAGCCTTAAGATTCTCATTACTTGCTTCGTCGTCGTCATCATCCGTTGAGCCCTCCGAATTCCCTTGCTCGGCTGGCGGCGCCTCACTCTTCGCGCCTGACACATCCACTTCGAGCCACGCACAATTTTGCGTCGCTGCGGCAACATTCGTAAGATCAAACTTCGGCACGGACAGAGAAATATAACGACTAGACGTTGAGTCCAAATCTGTTGCCAGTTCGGGGCCACCGATCCTGGGAAATAACGTGTCCGCGATAGTCGACAGGTATGGTCGTGCTCCATAGGATGGCGGAGGTAGCAACAAGTCGTAAGGACGCATTCCCTGATCATTTCTTAGAAAGAAATATTTATAATAATTCACTATTCGTATTCATCTTCATGTCCTAAAAATAAGCTCATAATTTTCCCGGATGAATCAATCCAAGAAAAGGAGAAAAAAACAAAAAGAAAGATTATTTAAGATGCATATCATACAATTCTGGTGAAATAGTTTTACACAGTATTGTCGTTCAGCCTTAAGTATCCAGGCTCACTGGCTGCGGAGTTCTCCTGTGCAGCAGGGCTTGCGTCTACAAATTTCATGGATAGAGGACCTTGCAAATCCTTGAGCGTTTCTTCGGTAGCATTGCTGCAGTAGCATTGTCCGTTCAAAACGACTTTGTGGAGCCAACCCTGACAATAGCGATCATTAGATTGGTGGAGGTGGACGATAAAAAGAATTTCAGTGCTACTTCTTCTTCTTGAGAAGACAGGAGTGCATCTATCATCTCGTAACTATATTAATCGACTTCGTGATGAAGAAGTTATACCTAGGTAAAGAACGCAAACGAAAGACCTGGTGATGTATGCGTCCGGTATTTGGTAACCTGAGTTCGATCATAAGGGAAAACAAGGAGAGAGCCCTTGTGATCAATTTCAGGTTACCAAATGCCGGACGAACCATTCAACTCCTGAGAAGAACTACTTCTAAAACTTTTGTGCAAGAAGTCATGAGCAGGAGGTAGAAACTCAAGAAGACGTAAGATAAGTTCCGCTGGCTCCAAAACACTGTCTGAAGTCGTGACTTGCGTAGATCGAACTGACATGCTCCCAAGCTACGTGGTCTACATTCACGCGAAGGCAGTCCCCAGTTGCTAAGCGGATAAACGGTTTCATTAGCGCCCACCCCGCCCACGATATTTCATCTTTTACACTCATGATATCTCAGAATCCAAATCCACGAAGGATGAAAGAATACCAATACCGAGAGAAGAGTAACCGCCCTGTGTAGTTGAAGACGAATGAAGAATACCAGTAGGTACCCTGTGACGTTAAAGACGAAGACGAACAAAGAATACCAATAGTACCCTGTCAAGTTGAAGACGTCATGAAGACGAATCAAGATGGGCCTTAACTTCAAGTGAGGATCGAAGTTTAAGAAGGTCGTCGTCGTCGAAGTGGAGGTGGAGGTCATGCAACAGCTTTGGACATTGCTCACGTCATCGATTCGGCAGTTTGCCGTCACACAACCGCCGACTCGGTGGATGTCCCAGGGTTAGAGGAAGTAAAAACGAAAAAAAAAAAACTACTACAAAAATACAAGGGGAGGTGTTGGCCGCCTTTGTTCTTTTCTCCACGATCCGCTCTTTGTTGATCACGATTTTATTTTCGTGTTATCTTTTGTTCTAATGGTGAGTGAGAAAGATGAAGGCCAAAATAAAAGGCGAAGACCACCTTCAACTTGGTATTCGATAAATATATATAATTAACAGAGGAAATATTCATAATCTAGATTCGGCACTATGAAGAAGAGTAAGCGCTATGTATATACATGACAGTCGCACGAGATACAGCAGCGAAGAGTGGAACCGGGCACAGAGACCGAAATAGCTACACCGCGACTCCCTTGCACAGTGGCGCGCGAGGTGGCCAACCTTGGACCGACGAGGGACAAGACCGAGAGCCGAACAGCCGCAAAGAAGGCCGGCAACGGCGCAGTTCCTCGCGGTGACTGCACGAGACAGACTTCGAGCCGGACAGAAAGAGGGCCTATCCAGCAAGCCCTTAAAAAGGGAGGGGAGCCGAGCGACGGACGACTCGTGAGGAGCCAGGGTGGGCTGAGGAAACGCGCTCAACCGGCGCTCTCAGTGAGAGCGAAGACAAGAAACCCAACCGACAGCACAGCGGCCAAGAGGGCGCGCTGTTGCTGTTCTCTTTAGTACTCGTCACCTGAATATAAAGCACTCGTGCATATATTATTAATATTCGAAATAGAGTTCTTACTAATTAGATGACGCTCTCTGTAGAAGTACTTACTTACTACTACAACAAGCCACGACCTATGCTTTGCCTTAACAGAAAGCAAAATTTTCAGTTCCCGCGCAGAGTTGTTTGGCTCGATCCATTGAAAACGGGATTCCATCTAAATACAATGGAAACGGATCGCACGGGAAATTGTATGGATTTCCATCCTGATTTGCGGGAAGCAGCGAGTAAGCAACGATATCCTTGACGCCCCAGAATTCGTATTCTTTGCTATTGAGACCCGATAATTGTTTCTGCACGGTGGGGCTCCTCAAACAGAGCGCATTTATGCTCTTCTTACCGGCACCGCCGCCACACGTAAAATACGATTTTCTTAGACCTTTTACTACCTTGTTCTGTAATCATCTACCTTCTAAAATTTTCAGCTTGCTTCGTTTTTTCGTCTTGTATCTGCAAGAAAGAGTGTACTAGTAAAAGATGATGATAAGTAATTGAATCCCAAACCCAAGAAGCCTCTTCAGAACTTCGATGAATCAGAATCTATCATGATCCGTGCATCAAGTCTTAACTTTCTTCCGGAGTCATGACTGCTAATCGACGCCTGCTCCATCTTACCATCGTCCACGGAGTGACAGCCGCCGCCAATTATATCATAGTCATCGGGGCACTCTTGGCCGACCCAGGCGTTCGGAAATTCAGCCCACATGGTAGCCGCTATTGGAACATCAGTCTCCGTGCACAACGCCCAAGCCCTCTTATCTGCCTCGTCATCAGGTGACTTGCAACGCCATTGTGGGTGAGGGTATCCATGGATATCCACCTTGGGAGCGGAATAACCGATCAAATCTGTTTCTTTGCCTGGTTCGCAACCGCCTCCGAGTATTAGACTTTTCATGCGAAATTCATCTTCTTGGACCTGCAAGAACTGCTACTGCATCTCTTGACTAATATCAGACGGAAAGAAGAAAAATTAGTGCTGGTGTATTAATCTGGTCTAGTAAGATAAGAAGAATATTTTTCTTGTGCTGCAGAGATCCAGCAAACAAAGATGAATTCATGAATGTATCTATGTATAAGAATAAGTCTTAAGAGCAACGTCCGATAAGTACGGTAAGGAAAGTTTTCTGCTTCTCTTCCATCTGGGCAAGCGGCGACGACACCAGTCTCCGCAAACACTTTTGAGGCAGCTGAAGTTTTGTATCCTGCAGCAAGATAGACTTTAGTTAGAGATTGGGTTTATTTTATTAATTTGGTGTCTCTGTGTAGTCCCGTTTGTTCTCATTTATGTCTGTCTCCCTTAGCCTTAGGCGTCTCCCTCAGGAGAGCCAGACCATCAAACGGTAACAGGAACGCGACCTTTAAGCGCCTGCCCGTAATTTAATATTGGGGGAGCAAACGACCCAGGCCGAATGCGTCGTAGTGCCTTTGCAACGCCAGCCCCCATTCTTCCCATCCACGTCTCCGTAAGGAATATTAAGCTGCAGCCTCGGTTCCGTTCCTCCATAAGCGACGCAACCGCCTCCAACGACTGCCATGTTTCGAGGACAGGCTGCTCTCGTATCTGTGCCCCCACTAATGGGTCCGACGATGAGGGAAGTGTAGATAGGACGATCGAGATCCGCTATTAGTCCTTGCTGAGACGGGTCTAGCATACAAATGGCGGAAATTAGACGAGTGTGATCATGATCGAAATCAAGACACAGACAGCGTGAAGTTGATCTTGATGGTCAACAATAAAACAAAAAGCGTACTACAAATGGCGGCGATTAGACGAGGTCGTTACAGAATTAAAAAAACGAGCAACGTGACGACAAAAAGCCAAGGATGGCAGGAGTACAACGGGAAGATGTTTCATTTGGGTAAGCCTTAAGGCAACCCTCTTCTGTACCCCACCGCCTCCGCAGCGATACACTTCGATGGTCTCGCTCACTGGCGTGTAACGAGTCTCAAACGTTGGGGCTGCCATCGTCATCAGTTCCGGCGCCACTTTCACTTCGCAACCTCCGCCTATTATTCGGTAGTCCAGGGAACTGCACTTCGCGTTCTTGTAGCCCACAGACGCTGACGCGAAGTTTATCTCGATAGGTACGTCGTCAGTGGTACACAGAGCTCTTATTACCTTCTTATCCCCTACTTGCCCTGCGCAGTACCAACTGTTCATCGCAGTACCATTCGAGTCTTGAGGCGGTGCACTGTGGTGAATATTTGGGCTCGTCGCGCTATCGCCTGGCTTACATCCGCCGCCGATTAACTTCGTGTAACTGCCAATCTTAGAAACCGATGTTGCTCACGATGAACCCTGAAGCTGAACTGTGTTATCTTTTTCTGTAATATGGTCGTGTTTTCTTTTCGGCCATGTCATGTGTTTTCTTTTCGGCCAACGCTCCTTCTGAAGTAGGTGAATCAATCAGACAGACCAACATCAACAAGAACAAAAAGCCCACGCCGTAACACTCGCATAGCAGTCGACCTGCCCTCCATCATCTACTTCGGCCTCGACTAGCTTGACTTGGATATCCCTCGAACAGAATACCCACACCATGTGCTCGGGCGATCCGCCACCGCATTGCCATCCCCCATTTTTTCCATCCTGGTCGCCGTAATTTAAAGGTCGTAGTCAACATCTTTCATTTTTATCAACATGCTTGGTTGAGTGGGTCGTTCTTCCCCTTTATCAAATTATTTTACCCCTTAGTTAGACTTAGAGTCCCCCTCTTAAATGATCTATGAAGGTGGACTCCACTCAGCATAAGTACTTCTTCTTCTTGACATGGACATAGGAGGGATTTCACATGGACATGGGACGGGAGAGTGACAAAGCACTTGATAAAGCACTACTAGCCTTAAGTAAGGAATATTGTCGGCTAAAATAAACGGGGACGCAATCGCTTGACAGCCACCACCGACTACTGTCATGTTACTCGGACAGCCAAGTTGGACGTTGGTCCCTCCAGTCATTGGCCCAAGCCTGAGAGTCTCATAAACAGACCAGTCGCGCGACATGGGGTCAACTGTCGCAGCCTCCTCCTCATGTTCTGCGTTATGATATCTCGATAGCGAATACCTTTCCGCTAGCCGTATTGGTGGCCTGCTAACTCTCCCAGATGAATCATGCTCTTGTTGATCTTCATTGTGCTCATCTTAGAAGTAGCGCTAGCGCCCACAGTTTTGAATTTGATTCATCTTAAAATCATGCATCTTCCTGATAGATGAAGATGACATTTTCTCCTTATGTAACAGCTTCAAGATGCTTGCTTCTGGAGAAGATGGATCGATTAGGGGAAGCCTTAAGCATCATGATCGCCTTCTTCCTCTGCATCCCGATCTCCTTTTCTCTTGCCGCGTAGCAACAATTCCTCAAATGGGTTTTCCCAAGGCTGTTTTGCGCTTGTGTAGTTCGCCAACTTGCCTAGTTGCGCTTTTTCAGACAGGTACGTCTCCCGAAACGCGACTAGCTCTTCTTAGACCTTGCCCGAATCCATCTTCTTGGGATGCATCCTAGGCCGCGCCTTTCTCTATCTTTGAAAATAAGACGAAGCCTGGAATGGTTCCGCTCTGTGGTAACCTGATTTTGATCATATTGGAAAACTACACGAAGAGAATCCTTGTGATCAAATTCAGGTTACCAAATAAGTACCGAAACCATTCAAACCTCTCCTGTCCGTCCGTCTAGGATGCCTGCCTCATCTGAAGATGGAGAAGCCTTAATGTTCGGTGACAACTTCCGCGCTTTCAATTCGAAGTTTTTCTTCTCTCATTTTGATCATCGTGCTCGTGTCTTGCTCCTCTAGCTTAGCTGCGACCTCGTCACGTTTTTGGATACTCTCCTCTTCATCACGCAATGTGCTGAGTAAGTCATCTGGAGACGTAGGAGTAGCTCCTTTAGTACTTCTGGAAGTTGTTGTAAAAACATCTTCTGATGTTCTTGTTGATGATGAAACATGATCACTGCGTTCTTGTTGTCCTTCTCCTTCTTGACCGCTACGAGCACCGCTTTCTTTTTCCTGCGCCATGAGGTCGTGATCCTCGACATGACCATGTCCATCCTTTTGTAGGGTGGACGCCTCTCCTGTCTTTCTATCCTTCTCCGCAAGCATCAAAAACGGAGATGCTGTCGAAGTTGTTGCTTGTTTCTCTGGATTTAGCGGTAGTCTCTCAATAATATCCCTGGTCGACTGAGTCTGAGATGCCCACCTGAGTCCCAATATATAAGTTTGAGTTTCCCTGAGAAGTCCACCTGAGAAGTTAGTTCCCCTTTAAATCAGGGAGGACTCCAGCCACGTCACTCAGGAGCATCCTCGTCCAAATGGGATAGCGATAAACATAAGCTAGCCTTAATAGATAGGAGTCCACAATCGACGCTCCACCGCGTGTTCGCCGATCAGCGTAGTCGTACAACGTGTTTGTGTTGTTGTGTTCTGTGTAATTGCGGATCACGGCCCATTGCTCCATAATGGCTAGCTTAGAGCTCAAAGCAATTCACGTCTCAACAAGTTCATCCTCCCGTCAGCACTTCACGATGAAGAAAATAGTAACAGAGAAAAATGAAGGAAGAATAAGAAATGAAATTGATACGGTAGTGGGCCTTAACCAAATACTCAGTGTAATTCGACGCAAACTCGATACCGTAGTCGCAGACGCCAGAAATGTAAAATTTAATCTCCTCTGAAAGTGTTTCTGCAGTTGTAGCCGTGGCGTCCGGGTCCGTAGGAGCCTTGAACGCTAAGTTCTGGTCTTCTTCTGTTGATTGCTTGCTCTCCGTGACTGTGACGTTGCTGATGCCGTACATGGACTCCAAGTAGGAGCCGACGACACAGCGGTGATTAGAGCTCGTCGACGCCCCATAATTGTTCCACCTTCATTTTCTTGGGATACAACATGATGATTCTGGAGCATTAGTTTTCATGCATTCTTCATTGCTGCATTCTTTGAAATAACTTGTCCTTTTCGCCTTGAAAAGTCTTATTTCTCGGAACATGATGTATGAGGCCCGGAAGAGAGGATGAGAATGAACATGATCCAGGATGATGTCCTGGAAGAGAGGATCACGTCCCGGAAGCCTTAAGGTAGTTTTCCATGCTGATTCTCAACTCCTCAGTGGCTTGAAAGGACGCGGCATTTGGACCGGCCGTGGTCGACGAGGAGGAACTGGTAGAACTTGTGCTAGAAGAAGACGCTTTAGAAGAGATTGTAACAAGAAGCAGAAGAAGACTAAAAGATGTGCTAGTAGAAGACGACGGTTTAGAAGAGATTGTAACAATAAGCAGAAGAAGGCTAAAAGATGATGTCTAAGTAAAATATTAACAATATTAAGATCATGGGTTAGGGTTGATGTTGACGGTTGTACGCGTAAAGGTTCCTCCAAAAAGCATGCTTGCATTCCACATGGGGTAGTCGAGAACTGATAAGCACCTCTGGGTCAACAGCTCCACTAGGAATCTGCCTCCTCTTGTCTTAGACCTACCCGCAACCTATCCAATCCCATGAATAGATCCCGGGAAAATATACTCGCCCGTACTTGCGCTTGCCTCAGTACAGCCCAAGAATCCACCAGGAGGCAGTACCAGGCAGCCCAGTACTTTTCCGGGATCCACGTGGGGCTGGCGGGTTTTGTGAAGGAGCCTTAATTGTGACATCTTCGATCTTCGGTTTAGGGTCCACGATCTCTGTGCCGTTCAAGATCTTCCGCAGCGCTCTTTCCAGTTTGTAGTTGTAAGTACTGGTATTGAACAATCGCACTAGCACCTTTTCCGCCTCTATCGCTTATTAAAGGTAGTGCTTCACCATCCGCGCTTGAGAGAGTGGGTATCCTTCGATCTATAATCTTGATGTTATGTTTTTCTTAAATAAATCCCCTTGACTTCGGAGGGAACCCACTCAGCAAAGTCCACATGCACATGGGATAGTGAGAGACAAACTAGGCTCCTTAAGTCTGATCTGCATGCACTGTTTCATCGAGCAGTTCCGATTCGGTTCCAAATCCAATCTGTGCCATTTTCTCTTGCGAAGGATAGCACAAACCTGGCGTGCAACAGACTGGCAAGTCCGCAGTTGCGTTCGATTTATCGCACTGAGATCCATAGCAGAGTCGGTCAAATTGCTCAATGCCCATGTAGAATCCTGCTGGGCAAGGAGCATCCGACGACTCAAAACATGTTGGCCGCAGGTTGCACTTGTAATTCTCCAGTCGGTAGCCGTAGTTAGAGCGCGAAGCATGATAGATTACTTACCCGTACTATTCTACATCTACTAGATGAAGAAATCTAAGACCAGGGTTAGAGTCTCAGATGACTCCACGAAGGACGAAACGAAGGCGAATCAAATGCAGAGCCTTAACGTAGTCGCAGGCCTTGCAGTGTACTGTCGGTTTCCTGTCCTGATATGGGCAATCGACACCTTCGTGCGGGTCTCCATTCGGACAGAGACAGATCTTCTTCTCGCAACAGCTATTCATGTGCGCCGAAAGCATGCACTCCTCAGTGTGGCAGTGGGAGTAGCTGTGATTCGTTTCTGGGTCGATCGAGGTTAGAGCGGCACCCTTTTAACTTTTATTCACCTCCTGGGTAGTTCCCTCCAAATCTCGTATCATTTGGACCCCTTTCCCTTGTTGTACATGTTCACAGGAGAAGGGTATCGCGATGCTGAGAAGAGATCGTTCAGAGATGGATAAAAGCTGATCACATAGCAAGGAGATATTCAGGGTCTCATTGTGTTTCCAGAATCGAGGGACGTAGCCGTTCGGACATTCCCCACCAGCGCCGCCAGGAAGAGAGGTGTCTAGAGGATTGATCAAAGGCGTCAGGAAGTACGTGCAGGACATACTGCAGTAGCTCTCTGTCACTGCCATAGAACCCGCTTCGAATAGACGCGTCATCGGCCAGAAACCCAGTTCGCATTCATCGCACAACGATTGCCCCTGGACCAGGCAGCGACCTTGGTACTATGAAGAATGGGTAAGCGTAGGGGGTCTAGGAGGTCTATCACTTTCACTCAATAGTCTTTTTAGTCACCTACTTCTTGGTCTATCACTCAATAGTCTTAGTCACCTACTTCTTGGTCTATCACTCAATAGTCTTAGTCACCTACTTCTTGGTCTATCACTCAATAGTCTTAGTCACCTACTTCTTGGTCTATCACTCAATAGTCTTAGTCACCTACTTCTTGGTCTATCACTCAATAGTCTTAGTCACCTACTTCTTGGTCTATCACTCAATAGTCTTAGTCACCTACTTCTTGGTCTATCACTCAATAGTCTTTTTAGTCACCTACTTCTTGGTCTATCACTCAATAGTCTTTTTAGTCACCTACTTCTTGGTCTATCACTCAATAGTCTTAGTCACCTACTTCTTGATGATGTTTGTGTGGTTTAGGTCGTGGGGTCTACTCTTGCGCGACTCGCTGGACGAGTTGGGAGAGAGAGAGAGAGACTTTAAATAGCAATAGGCTTTTGGTGTTTGTTTATCCCGTTTGTCATGGCCGTCCCCCTTAGGAGAGCCATAAAAAACGGTAACAGAAGCACCCGCGACGAATTGAATCTATTCGGCGAGCTGCCTAAGATTTCCCAGACGAGTTCTACCCGCTAGTTTAGCTTGTTGTTGGATTGTTAGCGTTACCTTAATTCCACGTGACTAAGTATGCAGTAGTGTTGTCACCTCGAGAACGCTGAGTGAGTCCTTTATCCGCCGTCAGAGACATCAATATTCGTTATCAGAAGACCCCTTGCTATTTCATAACTGTAGATGCATGGTGCCGTTTCTGCACATACAATCAGGAACGGCTTCGCAAAATCTACCACCGTCAGTGACCTGGAGGGCCAAGGATAGTGCAAGGAAGAAAATCTACTGCAACCGTAGACCCTCATAAGAGTTACATAATTTTGTTAGATCAGATTCAAGTCCTTGAAATTTTGTTAGTTATATACACTTCCTTTTTGTTGAAGAGAGGTCCGAAAAAGTAAGCACGTCTGATACAACTGATACTTCAATATAGATATACCTCCTGAGAGTAGGTCTAGGTACTACGTTGTACAAGAGCATTTGAAAGATCTACCTGATTTCCCGGCACGACTGTAGCGCCAGGCCGCCCCACTCCCGCAGAAGAATACAGGATGTTAGAGCCAGAGAATTACTCTTCAAATATACTTTTATTGAATTCCTTGATTCATGAAAAACTCCAAAAATACATCGAAGTTGGAAAGGTGTAAGTGTTCCTCTTTCTACTATCTAAATCTGTGTCTTTCTGCAAGTGTACGAGTGTTGATCCGTTCATAAGTAGCTTCTTTGTTATGATAGCCGAACTAGCGTCGACCGGAATGAGCGGCGAGAGGTGAGTGTGGGTCGTCGTGGCTGGCGTGCTTTTCACTGAGAAAGTACCATGCGAATTAGAAGTTGACTGACTGTAAGTTCTTGATGAACAAGTGGAAGTCTGTGGTTTTAGATTCCTTTAGTTGTTGAAGAGTCTCTGTCTCCAGAAGTTGTAAAATACGGGAAGATATTCGTAGACGTAGAACAAGTAGTCGTATGTTCATCATAATACTCGCACTCAAAGCTTGCATGGCCGCATAGGCATCCTGGATGTCCTGAGGCGGATCGTAGTTCTCCAAAATTCCGAATCTGAATCCAGTATAGCACTGTGCGTCGCAGTTGAAATAGCCATCCCTCAAGCAGGTGGCCTGACGCCCCTTGGACCTCTTCAGAGTTCCGCCTGCACATCGACAGCGATTCGCTACACACATAGATTCGGTACGCTCTGGAAGGAGAAGATTAGACAGGTTTTGAACTTGAAGCTTTAATATCTTCGCGCTCGCCGTTAGCTTGAAATAGCTTGTGAAATAATTTCAATGAAACTTCTACTTCATCCTCGACAACATAATAACACTTCCCGCACCGCTGTTGCCGACCCCTTTCGTTACTTCTGGAACAACAAAGCCTACCGGGTGATACCCCATGTCGCACGATCGTAGCATATTGCAGGCTGAAGCTTTGTCTGCCACGCACTGCCTGCGCATTGTGTCCACGTGATCGTTTGGCAGCTGGAATGGCATCAGCGTGGGACTTGAGTAGGGAGAATTAGAGCTAGGGCTCGATGAGTTTGTACAACTCAAGGTCTTGTGTGTAAAGAGAACTAGATGAGCGCCAGAAAAGATTCTAGACCTTCCACTTGCAATTTTTAGAACGACAACGAAGGAATTTTCCTGGAAAAGACAAGAAAAAAATACAAATACTATTGCGGTGGTTGCACCTCTACTTGTGCATATAAACAAACTCACATCAAACTCATCCCATCCTTAACAGGCGTTTCTCCGTTGTCACAACGTGTGCAGGAGGCAGGTCTACAGCATTGCACGCGATCCCTTGCGAAATAGTTGGTGTCGCAGGTTCGTTCATTGCAGTAGTTCTCTTCACTCTCGAAAGCGTTGAAAACGGACAAGTCATCTGAAGTGATCGCAAGTTTGAAAACGGACCATAAGTCATCTGACATGATTTTTTTAGTGACATCAATCAGATTGTGAAGCTGATACTCTTACTCATAGGTTTATCTATATCTTTTTTGTAGTTCGTGAAAACGTGTGGTCCAACATTTTACCGTACTAAAGGAATGGAGAAGCCCTATCAGCACTACAGGAATACGAGAACTACTCATTGTAAGCTACCTCTCTTCTTGTAGTACCAAACAGTAAGGAACAAACACAAAGTCGATGTCATTAAAAGACTTATACTAGAGTAGTTTATAGAACGGATGTAGGATGGACTTGGATGGATCGGATGGATCGGATGGACCCCCCTGACTCTTCCGATCCTATTTGAAATGGTGGAAAGTCCATCCGTTCCATCCCATCCCGGATCTGGCACCCCTATAAACTGCTCTATTATACTTAATTTATCTCCATCTCTATGATTAAATCGCTGGCTTACTCTAGACCGCTAAAACGTGTATGATGTAGTTCTCTACCATCAGGCAAGCTGTGTCCGCAGAGAACGCTGCGATGCTCTTCGTTCCAGTCATCGAGGGCAAGCTGACAGCTCTGTCTCAGCCCAGTGCAGCATCGCTGGCGATCTTTTCCTGCTTGGAAGGGAGTTAGAGTATGTGAGTATGGGATGACGTCGATGAATCTTCAGGGAGAGCATAATGTAACGATAGAGTATGACATGTTGATGAAAAGTCTTCAGGTTGTAGAGGAACACGTACAGGTCGTGGGAAGGTTCTTGTTCTTTTGCTTTTGTCAAAAACATTTTCAAGTATTTCATTGCATTCAAAATAAAAATTTGTAGCGCAAGGGGGAATTCAAAAATATAAGCAGGTAGACCTTAGAATATCAAGAAACTCAGTGTAACCTCAAATCAGTTTTAGACCAAGGGCCTCGATTTTTATCTTGTTCGGAAAAGGTACTATAGACCTTAGACGGGTATCATGTGGAACACAATTCTGCCACAGAATCAGGTTTCGTGTTGTCTCTAATTGATTCTGATAACACTGATGTGGTGAGCAAATTACAAGCCTTAACACAACCATTGTGAAGCTGTCCTTGGTCTCCGTCATATTGAGTGCCATCTCGCATTCGTCTTCCTCACAGTAGAAATAAGGCCGATCCTGGCTGGACTGCTGCTCAAAACAAATGAAGAGACGAAAGCTGAGGAATAGGGGGAGTTGTGAGGTCTAGAAGTAGTAACCATTATCTGCGGGCGCGGATCGTTCGCTCTAACTGTACATCAGAATTGACGAGCAAATCA